CGCGCACCCTTTCCACCCGTCCACCCGCAACGTGGATTGCAAACCCCAGGCGGCGGCGATCGCCATGAGTGTCGGGATCTGGCTGGCGCACTGCTGCGGCCGCGCTAGCTCGCGCGAGCTCGCGCGCAGAGCGGCAAAATAAGCTGGCGCGCCGACGCGGCCGCGGTGGCGTCGACCAAGCCGCGGTGACGCATGGGCGTTTCAGGGCGAGTTGGTGATTCGGGCGGGCGCGGTAACATGGCCGCATCCACAACGGGAAACACGATGATGATAGTACGGATGTTGGTGTCTACGATGACGATGGCTGGCGACGGCGAGGCAGATGACGGCGCCGATGCTGACCACGACGGCGACGACGTTGGCGCTCGCGCGTCGGTGGTGGAGGGTCTGGAACATGAACAGAACAACGGGAATTTCGGTATGCGCTCGCGGCCGACGCGTGCGAGAGGCTCGCCTTGTAATGTTCGGCAGGGACCGCGCGTCCCCCCCCCCCCAGCACGCGCGCAAGGGCGTTCGAATGATTCCGACCTGCGCGCGCCAGCCAGAGGCCCGCTTGGTTGGTCGCATTGCATGAGTATGTGTTTGTATGTATGGTGGCCAAACAAATTTGCAAGAGCGCGCGCGCCGAATTTTCATGCCAACCATGTTGCAGCACCGCGTTCATACGATTTCGGAACACTCGATGCAGAGTTCCGTACGGACATAGAAGTTGTTGAAAGGTTGTTTCGTGCGCGCACGACGACGCGCGCGCGTGTATTCCGTCCTACATGTTGTATAACGATGGTTTGGGAAGTTGTTGTGTGTTCAGATAAACGAGTGTGCGCGCATACTTTTTCTTGCACGGGAACGTAGGGGCGGGATCGAACCCAGCTTGGCTAGGATGAGATGGGTTCATATTTAGATTTCCCCAGGGTGACCACTAATCCTGGGTTTCGGGTGGGGGCGGACATTGACTGCTTCAGTACAAAAACTAAGCGTGATGCATTTATACATGTGTGCGTATTGCAGTCTATGCGGTACGACCTATGCATATGTGGCGCAGTCTATGTGAAGCATTCAATGTGGTGCAAACCACGACGTGCATTAGATTGTGTGCATTTCACGTTGTGCAGTAGCTGTTGCTTAATTGCTGTTGTGCTATGCATGTGGTGAAACACATGTTGCGCAATATATGTGATGCAACCTATGTTGTGCAAAGGTGCGCAGAGCAATGCGAAACAATGTACAGCAACGCAAAGCAAGGCAGAGCAATAAGGCAACGCAAAGTATCGCGAAGCCGCGACGAGGCGGCGACGAGGCGGCGACGGCGACAACACAGCCGCCAAACCGACAGACACGCCCGGACGACGGCCGACGACGAGGCGTCGACTGGGCAGCGACCGCGACTACATAGCCGCTAGACCGACCTTCAGGCCCAGACGACGGGCGGCGCGACCCGCCCGTCGCCCCCCTCCACTTTTCCTCCTCCTCCTCCCTCCTCCATCCTCTTCCTTTTCTCCTCCTGCTCCTCCTCCTCTTCATCATCATCACCACCATCATCATCATCATCATCATCATCATCATCATCATGATCATCATCATAATCATCCTCAGCATCATCATCATCATCATCATCATCATCATCATCATCATCATCATCATCATCATCATCATCATCATCATCATCATCATCATCTTCCTCTTCCTCCTCTTCTCCTCTCCTCCTCCTCCTCTCGTCCTCCCCCTTCTCCTCCTCCTCCTCCTCCTCCTCATCATCATCATCATCATCATCATCATCATCATCATCATCATCATCATCATCATCATCATCATCATCATCCCCCTCCTTCCCCTCCTCCTCCTCCTCCTCCTCCTCCTCCTCCTCCTCCTCCTCCTGTTCCTCCTCCTCCTCCTCACCGTCCTCCTCCTCGACCTCCTCCTCCTCCTCCTCCTCCTCCTCTTCCTCCTCCTCCTTCTCCAACTCCTCCTCCTCCGCCTCCTCTACTGTACACTTGCCTCCCCCGTGCCCGGCGCCCCAGCGCCTGAGTCAGCTGGTTTCTGGACGAGTGGCCTCCCGGCGAGCGCGGGTTCCGGGCGAGCGGTCTCCGGGCGAGCGGTCTCCCGGCGTGCGGGTTTCCGAGCGAGCGGTCTCCAGGCGAACGGTTTCCCTGCGTGCGGGCTTCTGGGTGAGCGGGCTTCTGGGCGTGCGGCCTCCCGGCGAGCGGGCCTGTGTCGCCCAGAGGGGGCGCAGAGCACAGGCAAATGTAAGACATATGATAATATGAAGGGTACATATGTAGGGTACATGTATAATAAAAAAGGCTGCCTATATCTATATATATATATATATGGAGAGAGAAAGAGAGAGAGAGAGAGAGAGAAAGAGAGAAAGAGAGAGAGAGAGATGTACGCCGGGCCCCCTCCCGGGGCGTCCTCCACCTCGCTCACATCTGGTGTGCGCGCCCGGTGCCGCGCGTCCCGGCCTCCCGGCGAGCCCCCCACATGCAGACAGCCCAAGACGACCCCAAGAAGCCCCCACAACGTAAAAGAATTACCCAAGACGCTCCCAAGCAACCCAGGATAGCTCTCGGGCGGCTTTCCAGGCTCCCAGGAGGCCTCCAAGAGACCTCAAGAGAGCTCCGATAGGCCTCCCGAGAGCGCCCAGAGAACCTAAAACCGTTAATGCTCATTGTTTTGTTGTGTGTTTCTTGCTTTTTCACCATTTCAAGCTCCCAACGCTCCAAGACGGCCGAAGAGGCCCCCAAGCCCGCCCCGAGACCGCCCAAGAGGCCCCCAAGACGGCCCTACCAAGACGGCCCCAAGACTGCCGAAGAGGCGCCCAGGACAGTTCCAGACCACCCCAGAATTGGCCCAAGATGAGCCCAAGAGCGGGAGCAGGAGGCCTCCAGAGACCTCCGAGAGGACTCTGGGACCCCCCAGGGGCCCCCAACACACCCCAGACCCTTGAGAGGCTCCCAAAAAATCCCCGACGAGGCCCCCCAAACAGCCCAAGAGAGCTTCGAGAGCCGTCCCGAGAGAGCCCAACGAGGATAAAATCGTTGCTTTCCAGTTGTTTGTGTGTACATTTTTCGCCTTCTCACGTTTTCCCGCTTCCAACGCTCCAAGACCGAGGAATTGAAGAAAAAAAGGAATTCCAGAGATTCCTTTTTTTTCAAGTTGGGACTCCTACTCCCTATCCTCTTCCTCGGGCCCCATCAAGACTTCGGGGTCACATGCAAAAATGTTTCGAGAATGCTGTTGAACTCTCTGACGCTGTCTTGGCACTCTCTCGGATCGTCTTCGTGTCCTCTTGGCTGCCCCTGAAACCATTGTTGAAATCGAGATCCCATGATCCCATGAGTTGAAGCAGTGGAATGCTCGAATTCCTTGTTTCAAACTCACCCCCTGCTTCTTTTTGCACGCAGACCCCGAGAGGCATCCCAACAGACCGTGGCCTGCATGCAGAAAACGTGTGACCCACAGCCCAGGCACTACAACTTGAAAAACGGGAAATCCCATCATTCCTTTTTTCAAGTTCCCCCCCCCTGTCTACTCTTGCACAACAGACCACACTGAAGGCCCCAGGCAAGAACCCAGGAAGTCTTCGAGGGCCCCACAAATCGTTGAATACCCAACGGCAAGTGATGATTTCTGCGTTTTTGCGCAGTTCCCGTTCTATACGATTCCGAGGCTTGCGCAGGGCCTCCAAGAGAGCCCCTGAATCCAAGAGAGTCCCTGAGGACACCAAGCCTAACTAGAGTTTGGGCGCGCGCGAAGCGCGCGCGATGGTTCTAATACTATTTTTTATATATATATATATATATATAAGTTATATTATATGTTGTTATATATTGTTAAACAGATGTCGGTGGAAAGTATATGTAAGAGTGTATTTACAGTTATACAAATGTGTATATATACATATCTATATGTGTGTACATGTATTTCATGTCTATTAGAGGCCAGTTTACCCAGATCTCCCGCAATTCTTACAGTACCCCCCTCCAAACCATTCCTTTTTCACATTACTAGTGGAAAGCATTGGGAAGCGGCTGCTGATGGGCCTTCAATTTCTGGCGTAGCGTTGCGGCGTAAGGCTGCAACGCGTGTGTCCTGGAGCCGATGATGTGTTCGTTCTTCGCGACATGTCCGAAGCGGTAATGTTGTTGTCGTTGGCGAGTGATAGGTTTGCTTTCCAATGGGGGCTAGAAATGCGGCCAGACATTCGGCGATCGCGATGCGGATGAGCCGCAGGAGGGCGACGACGTGACGACGACGAGCCACAGGGTGGCGTGAGGAGGGGACAAGCATGATGAGGAAGAGGAGGAAGGAGGAGGAGGAGGAGGAGGAGGAAGAGGAGGAGGAGGAGGAGGAGGAGGAGCAGAAGGGGGAGTGGGAGGGGGAGGACCAAGGAGAGGAAGGGAGGAGCTGGAGGATCACGGAGGATCTGAAGGAGGAGGAGGAGGACGAGCACAGTGAAGTCGGAGGGTTGTCCGCATGCGTCTCAGTTTTTTTGGCGAGGCCGGCTCGGCGGGCGGGGGGCACCGTTCCTCATGAGGCTCCCAGCGGGGCGTTGCGCGGGGCTGCAGCAGCAGCGGCTACAGAGCAGAGGACGAAGAGGAGAGGGCCAGGGAGCGGCGGCGAAACTCGAACCCTCCTCTCGCTGATCAACGAGTCAGGCAACTCCATGGGCGGCGGGGTTAGGGTTTGGAATTCGTCGAGCAAGTGGCGAAGTCCCCACCCTGCACCCGCCGCCCATCGATTCAGGAGAATCGATGGTCGGTGGGCATCGGGTTCGGATGTCGCCACCAAAGATTGGGCGGGGCTACGACTATAAATCCGTTCCAGAGCGCTCCAGGATGCTCTCAGAGCATTCCGGAACGCTCTCCGAAGACCGCGGCGCCCGAGACACCCTTCAGAGCCGCCGAATCTCAGAGATTCGGGGTTCATCCCCACCCGAATTGTTCCTCGTCTTGTCTTCGCCTTGTACTACTTTACGAAATGCGCCCCGTTGCTCCGAGGCGGTGGCCGCTACATCATCACGGCCTCCAAGGCCGAGGTCAATTGTGCTGGCGCGCCAGGGGTTGGGGGGGAGAGAGGTCGGGAGCGTCGTGGCGTGCACCCGGCGCGGGGGCCGCAGCGAGCTGACGGAGTAGAAACGTGCACTTTCGACGGTCCGTGCTGTTTTTTTGGGATCTGCGCTGGGCCCCCCTGGTTGCGCCTCCGACGCCGCCCTTGGCGCGCTCCGCGCGCCAGGGAGGGGGCGCCCAGCCCAGATCGAAGAAACCCGCGCGGACCGTCGAAAGATAACGCTTACGCAGCTTCGACTTCCTGCAGCGACGGCAAGGCCCCGTCGAGCGGGATCTTGGCTGCGCATGAGGGTGCCATAAGTGGCAGCGCTAGGGGGGGATAGGCTTAGGTCGGGCATGTCCCTCGACAGGAGGAATATTCCAAAATAGTGAACAAAGAGTCTGGTGACGATTTGTTCGTGCTCTTTTGATCGTTTGGGATGCTTTGACTATGTTCTATTCGTCTTCCAAAATCCGCCTGTATGAGGACATGCCCGACCTAACCCCAGGGGGGGGAGATAGGCTCGGGGGTGATGCATCAGCCCCCAAGGCGCCCGCTGCTCGCCGGTAGGGGCCCGATGATCTTAGCCCACCCCGCCCCGGCCCTTCTGGCTTCGCCATCGAGGGCACGGCACTGGTCCAGCGGCGATGCTCAGCCACGCGCAGAGGGGTCTGGGGGGAGGGGGGAGGGCTTCTTAGAAGCACCCTTGCTTCTTAGAGGGCGCGGGCGCTATCTATAGATGCAAGGCCGGCGCCTTCTAAGAAGCAGCCTCCTTCTAAGAAGCCCTCCCCCCTCCCTCCACCCCCTTGTGCGCGACGCCAAGATGCATCGGCGATTCTTGGCCGGTGCCCCCACCCCCCCGTGCGCCATCCCCTTGCCCCGATCCCGGGGAGCAGGCAGTGGCGCAAGCGTTCGAGTAGGGGATCGACTGCAGAATTGAGGCGCCCCAAAATAATTTGTCTTCTCGTCGAATTCGCGCGAGCGGCAGCCTCACTGGTTTTGCCTCCTTCTCCTGCTCTCCCGTGCACCCGTGCTCCCGTACCCTAGAATTGATTGTCTCGTCGATTCTATTCATCGGGGATGAAGAACCCCTAACCCTGATGACATGATGAAGACGCGGCCTCTCCGAGGTCCCCGTATTTACATTAGTGATGATAAATCTGGTCGGTTTGATTCGATACATCTGCAGAAAAGACCCCCCATCCCTACTGTTCTTGGCCCTCCTAAATTCGGTCCCCTCCCAAAGGTTAGGGGTTCTTGTCTGGCTGATCATCTACGGAAAAGATTCCGAATTATCGATTGATGCTGCGAAAATTCGCGTGAGCGGCAGCCTTATGCGTTTTGCCTCATTCTCCTCCTCTCCCGTGTTCTTCCGATGAAGTCATTTTGCTGCGTGCTGCATGTTGCGATGCATTCCTAGCTGCCCACATTGCGCGGACGCTAAAGGTGGCGCCCTTCCGAGCACTTCGAAGCCGTCTTCGGTTGACTGTTCGTGGCCACCGCGCTCTCGTTGAGGCATGGTCGGATCGACCTTCCGATATAATTCGTCATTTAATGGTTCGTCGTAATACTGGTGCCCCTCCTCTTCGTGAGGCGATACCTCCGCGGGCTCCCAGGACTCCCAGAGGTAAATGGGTGCCTCCCAACAGTAAGAGGATATCTACATAGCTGGTACGTGGTTGCACCTCCCACGAAATGCCTGTTATGACTTAGTTTCGTCAGTGCCCTTTCGCGTGGCAGACCACCTTCAAGAGCAGATGTCCGCTGACAACGCGTCTCGATTGGAACTGATGTTTTCAGCCTCCAAAAAGTAGATGTACAACATCCGACGCACTCGATAGGGAAAATCAGTTTTGGTGTAAATCAAGAATGCAGACGATCCACTACTCGAAACATAACTCGGAAGTCCGCGCGGATCCGACTCATCCGCGCGGACCTCCCGAGTTGTTGTGTTTACGCCACTGTTGGTTCCAAGGTTACCCTTGCTTGCATCCAGCCCCTCGGCCCATCTTTGGCCGCTTCTGCTGACCGCGCCCCGCTCGCAAAGTGTCGACATGGCCTGCCAAGGCCCTTGCATGCTTATCGCGCGTCCTTCTCATACGGGTTGACTGCGTCGCCCCCCGTGCCAGGCTCAGAAGCCAGGCGAAGGCTGGCAAACCCGTGGCTGCTAAAACGGAGCTCCGGGAAATTGTTGTTTCTTCCGGGAAGCAGCCCGCTTACTATTTAGCGCGCTGAGCTTTATTCTGGGATTTCTTTCCTTCCGGGAAAACCGTCTTAGCAGCCACGGATTTGCCAGCCCTCGCCAAGCTTCCCGGTTCGAGGGGTCGCCTCCGAGCCCCCCCTGCCGGGCACAGGGCGAGGGCGCGGTGCGAGGCCGAGCGCTGTCGTGGCCCGCGCCGCTGCCGGCCAGTCGGCCGGGCCCGTCGGCACCCTCGTGCGCCCCCCGAGTGAGGGTCCAGGCGTCGGGCTGCCCAGGAAGCTCTTCGGCGGCGAGCGAGGGGAGGGAGTGGGCAGGAGGAGGCCTTCTCAGAGGGTGGCGGGGCCTCACAGGGGCCCTCTGGCCTCCCGAGGGGGCTCCCCCTCCTCCTCCTCCTCCTCCTCCTCCTCCTCCTCCTCCTCCTCCTCCTCCTCCTCCTCCTCCTCCTCCCGAGCCTTCCGAGGAGGCCCGCCCCTGCTCACATCCCCCCGAGCCTCGCCAGGGGAGCCCGTCGAGGGCCCGAGGCCGCGCCACGCGGTGCCTGGCGCACGTGGGGCGGACAGTGTGTCGGTGCGCGTAAGGCCGGGCCGAGGTGTACGGGCGGCCCGGGTTAGGAGGTCGACCCTGCCAGAGCAAGGGTGCCCTCGTGTCCTGTGTCGTGCGGCCCATGCCTCCTGCATTTCTGTGGCAGCGTGGCCCCCGGAAGGGTCTTGTGTCCTCTCGCGTGTCCTCTCCAAGCAAGTCCGACTGTAGGATTATGATGTTCCAGCTCTTACTTTAGCCATGGCCACCAGAAAGCATTTGGAGCACCGAGGAAGTACCGAAACTGGAGGCTTTTCACGTGTCGGGCCCTGGGAGGCGACACTCGTTCGACACCGTTCCGATACTTCTCTGGGTGCTCGAAATTATTTCTGGGACGTGGTCCGTAAGTGCGATGGGAGCAACAGAAGTACAGGATCGAGGTCGCTTCGAGTGGGCACGCACCCAGACCACCTCGAGCACTGAAGGCATCACATGTTCAGGGCCCTTACCGGGCCTCAGGGCCGTCAAGAAACGACTCGGGATGAAAAACCGGTCCCTGGGAATGGGTCCAGACCTTTGGGGGCCGACGTAAGGAAAAAAACATGACGTCGGGGGTCTGGGTATTTTGATGCTCTTCGTGTTTGCTGGATGCTCTTGCGCATCCTGGGGGAAGGGCGCCCTTGAATGCTCCTCATTGAGCTTGACCGGCGGAGGGTCCCATGTCCCTGAGATCCGACGTGGCAAAAAAATAACAACACCGTTAAACATCACGCCCAGAGACTTCGACCCCAGGCGCGCGAGGGCGCGAAGTGGTTCGCGCTGCGCGGTTCGGCTCCGATTCCGCATCATCTTCCTCCTCTTTCTTGGGGAGGCGCGCGAGGGCGCGAAGTGGTTCGCGCTTCGCGGTTCGGCTCCGACTCTTCTTCAGTTTCCTCTGTTCCTCTGGGGAGCGCGCGAGGGCGCGAAGTGGTTCGCGCTTCGCGCAGCGCGAGGGCGCAAAGTTAGGCGCCCTCGTGGACACTTTGAGCAGCGAGGGAGGAGGGGCGAGGGCGAGGGAGGAGGGGGGACAGGCGAGCGGCGAGGGAGAAGGGGGGCGAGGGGGGGGGAGAGGAGGAGGGGACGCAGGAGAGCTGATGATGTGTGTGTGTGTGTGTGCATTGCTGGTTGGTCCTCTCCTGGTACTCGAGTAGGCCTGCCCAGTCTGGCGATTGCCGTATTTATTGTAGTTTTGTAGCGGCGTCTCTCTCGCGCGTCTTGTGACGCCTCTTCAGATCCGCATGAGTATTTCAATGTCGTCTGGTTGCTTGCTTACTTCCGCTGTTCCATTTCTCGTACGTGTGCAACTAGTTCATAATTGTCGCGTTTGCGGTGTGGATTGTGGGCTATTGCGAACAGACCGTACTGATCAAGTGGTTCGCTTTGCTTGCATTGCCACTATGAGAATATGTATGTCTGCGTATTCGTCTGACATGTGTGGTATGCACAGCGCTTCGCCGGACTTCGTCCGTACAAGCTGGGGTGTCACGGAGCAGCCGAAGTTTGTTCCCCAGCTTGGTTATGGACTTCCTCTGGGCCTCCGCAGCTGCGAAATCTCTATGGGATCCCCCCCTTCCGCCCAATGTCCAAACGCCAAATGCGAGAACGTTCACCACACACAAATCATCGCCGAGTCCCCGGAAAGTGCTGAGAATATTGGAAGTGGAGGGGAAGACAGACATGCAGAAAAACATAGAGTGCAGGGCATATTGGGAAGTGTGTTTATTCGTTGAATCGCTTCGCTCACTCCGCTGGCCCATTTCGCATTACGATTGGTGCATGGTGGTGTGCTCGTACTCATGGGGAACGGTGGGGCAGGCAGGGCTGTTCCTCGAGGAGATGTTTGGAGATGTGGCTCGCACCCTGCCGACGAGAGCAGAGAGCCGATAGACTGCCCCAGAGGGCGCCAAGATGGCTCAAGAGAGCTCCATCAGAGTTTCGAGACGTACCTGGGTTGTGGGTCAGAGTCCTCATGTCTTCTTTTTGCGGTATCCTCGGAGGGTTCTCGGGAGACTCTGGGGAGCAGTTTTGGGGCCTCTGATGAGTTTCTCGGGGGCTCCTTGGGGGCCTCTTAGGGCTTCCTGGGGGCCTGTTGGGGCTTCCTGGGTGCCTGTTGGGAGCCTCGATGGGGGCCTCTCGGGGCCTCTTGGGAGGCTCTTGGGCTTATGCGGGGTGGACGACAAGAACAGCTATGTGGGCAGGGAAGATCAGCATGGCATTGTTTCTGACAAGTAAGGTGGCCCCTCCCGCCTTGGGGTTGCCCCAGAAGTCCGCGCGCGATGTGCGCCGCGCCTCATTCCTGCCACGCATTTCGCATCGTCGACGACAAGACAGGCCATGATAAGGAAAAACGGCAACTTTGTATTGATTTTTTTACAATCAGGATGGGAGGGCCCGCAGCCCGCATGGACGTCCGCGCGCGATGTGCGCCGCGTCCCATGCCTGCTACATAGTTCGCACCGTCGGCGACAAGGCAGGCCATGCTGAGAGGAAACAGCGGAGACTTTGTATTGATTTTTTACAGTCAGGATGGGCGGGCCCGGATTGACGGCCGCGCGCGATGTGCGCCGCGTTCCATATGTGCGCCGCGTCCCACCACAGATTTCGCACCGTCGGCGACAAGGCAGGCCATGCTGAGAGGAAACAGCGAAGACTTCGTACTGATTCTTTACAGTCAGGATGGGCGGGCCCAGATTGACTGCCGCGCGCGATGTGCGCCGCGTCCCACTCCTGCTACATATTTCGCACCGTCGGCGACAAGGCAGGCCATGATGAGAGGAAAAAACGGAGACTGTGTATTGATTTTTTACAGTCAGGATGGGCGGGCCCAGATTGACGGCCGCGCGCGATGTGCGCCGCGTCCCATATGTGCGCCGCGTCCCACTGCTGCCACATAATTCGCACCGTCGGCGACAAGGCAGGCCATGCTGAGAGGAAACAGCGGAGACTTTGTATTGATTTTTTACAGTCAGGATGGGCGGGCCCAGATTGACTGCCGCGCGCGATGTGCGCCGCGTCCCATTCTTGCAGCGCTTTTCGCATCGTCGACGACAAGAAAGACGAGGTTGAGAAGAAAAACGGCAACTTGATTTTGATTTTTTACAGTCCGGATGGGAGGTCCCGGAGGTTGAGAAGAAAAACGGCAACTTGATTTTGATTTTTTACAGTCCGGATGGGAGGTCCCGGATCGGGTTGCTACCGGC